ATACAAGTAAATACTCTGAAGGAGACTCTGTTGGCTGCAGATTGTAGCATAAGATGCAGCTCACCGAAATCCCCGTATCAACCACGCCGCTGCGCCCACATGGCCACTAGGCATACATGTGCCTGTACAACAAAATGTACAGCAAGTGTAGTATGAGTACGAAAACAACCCGTACCCAGTAAGTATCCAGTCTAACCTCGAAGAAGTAGTGACGAGAGGTCGACTCCGACAAATACTATGGCCAACAATAATGTACCGATAATATGATTAATCATGGAGTTTATAAAACGGCGGTAAACTCAATAATCATAAAGCAAGTAAGCAATTCTTTTGTTAATAGGAGATTTCAAAATTTATTTTCATCCTTTTATCAATTTATCTCAGACCAGGGAGGCAATATCGTTTATTATATATCCCAAAGCAAGCAATACAATCATGCGCAAATCATGCCGAGGTCGTACGGTCCAGTCCAACATAATATTTAAATTGTGCACTGCCAGAGGGTCGAACGGCGCGAACCATAGATGCATCTATTTAATTTGCCGAGGCGTTCGGCCCATTCCACAAAGATAAACACATTCAAACAGTCAATCAAGAATTCAGCAGGGAGTAATTATCCAAGGAAAATGGCAAATCCTCTTTTAACGGTCAAGAAAATGATGTTTAGCCTTTTAGAAATTCATTTACCAAGTTCGATATGATTTAAGAAATTTAAATGGACAATAAGGTTACAAATATCGCAAGTATAGCATGCTTTTGGGTCCTAGACTACTTGGACCTAAGCATAATAGTATCTACGCACGGACTCTCGTCACCTCGTGCGTACGTAGCCCCCACAAACAAAAGCACATATTGATTTACTTGACCTATGGGGTTAATTCCCTCTTACAAGGTTAGAAAGGAGACTTACCTCGATCTGAAGTTCCATAACCAGCTCCAACGCCACTTTAACACCTTAATCCGATGCTCAGAGCTCCAAAACTAGCCCAACAATGCGAAAACCAATGAAAATATACTCTAATACTCATAACAATTTAATTTACAACAGTTCCCAACTCCGCTCGGAAAGTCGATAAGATCACCTTCGGGCCCACGTGCTCGGATTCCGAATATTTTCGAAAAAAAACTTTACCCATGACCTTACAAACTCAAAATTGTGAAGAAAGCACTTACCCCATTATGATTGATGAAGATGGCACTCCAAAAGTGCTTCAAAAGATCGGCTCCCATGGGCGAAATGAAGTGAGATAGAGCCAAACCCTCATTTTTTAAAGAACACACTGCCCAGCCCCGACTTTCGCACCTGCGGTCACTTGACCGCTTCTGCGGTTCTCCCTCAGGTCCTTAAATCCCCGCACCTACGTCCAGGTAGCGCTTCTGCACCTTCATTTCTGCGACTCTTCACGCGCAGGTGCGGTCCCGCTTCTGCGGAACTTGAACGCATTTGCGGTCCACGCCTCCCCCAGCAAAATCCGCTTCTGCAAGCCATCTCCCACACCTGTGGGCTTGCACCTGCGGCCCTCTTCACGCAGGTGCGATTACACCAGATGCCCAACTGCTTCAGTTCTTCCTCGACTTCAAATTTCAATCCGTTAATCCACCCGGGGCTCCCGAGACCCCGTCCAATCACACCAACCAATTCCGAAACACAATGCGGACCTGCTTGAGGGCTCAAATCCATCAAACAACGCTAAAATCATGAATCGCACTCAATTTCAAGCTTTATGAACTTCAAACTTCTTCATTCGATGTCGAAACCTATCAAATCACGTTCGATTGACCTCAAATTTTGTACACAAGTCATATTTGACATTACAGACCTATCCAACTTCCGGAATCGGAATCCGACCTCGATATAAAAAAGTCCACTTCCGGTCAAACTTCTCAAAAACCTTCAAATTTCTAACTTTCGCCAAATAACCCCAAAATGACCTACGGACCTCCAAATCCACTCCCGGACGCGTTGCCAATACCAGAATCACCACACGGAGCTATTCCCAAACTCGAAATCCCAAACGCACGTTGATACCATTGAAATGCACTTCGACCCAAAGTTATGAAATTCTTCCAAAATGCCAACTTCCCCAATAGACGTCGAAACGCTCCCGGGTCATCAAAAACCCGATCCAGACATACACTCAAGTCCGAAATTATCATACGAACCTATTGGAACCTTCAAATCCCGATTCCGAGGTCATTTACTCTAAAATTCAATCTTAGTCAATTCTTTCAACTTAAAGCTTTCGAAATGAGAATTTTCTTTCTAAATCAACTCCGAACTACCCGGAATTCAATTTCGACCATACATACAAGTCATAATACCTGAAGTGAGGCTGTTCATGGCCTCAAACTGCCGAACAATGCGCTAGAGCTCAAAACGGCCGATCGGATCGTTACACTAACAATGGCAATTTCGTACCCAGGATTCGAACCTGATACCTATAGTTAATAATAAAAGAATAGTTGTCAGTTGATCACGCCCAACTATGCCTTATAAAAGGGACTCACCGATCGTTGCAAATATAATCCGGTTTACAAGTCCGGAGTCGAATCCCATAGAGAACCAAGGCCTAGCTACAGTCGTTAAATATTGCTAAGAAACACAAGTCCAAACAATTTCATAATTATAGAGATTATAATGTTTATTTCTAACTAATTAACTACCAACTATTATAAAGCAGTAAAATTATCAACTACCAAGGATGAAATTTGAGACAAGACTATGGAGGTCTAGAGTTATGATTTTTCCAATTGTCGGAATCCTTCCCGATATGCCTTCTATAATTTCACCTAAGTATTTTCTACCGATCGTGAGTACTTCGGGTGTCATAATTCTCTTCCGAGCAACTATCACAATTTACTTGACATATTCTTCCGAACTACTCTAGCTGGCACTAGTTTACCGCTCAGTAAGATCGCACCAAGGTTTCGTTATTCCTAATCCCACCTTTAAACCCTTCGTGTTGATTCCTCACATACGTCAGGAGTGATGTTGTTCAACAACTACCTAAATATGTACCATCTTCCAAGCAATACATACTAAATAGGCGCAATCAATTGATGGTCATTCAATCAACAACAATAAACACGTAGTTGAACAAGTAGAGAAATCCAATGGCTCAATTATATAAAACATAACAAGAATTTATCCTACAAAAGGTTCTATCAAAACCCTAGATAACAAATTAGCTATTCATAATAGTATACATAACTACTACTAGAATGCATAACAAATAATGGAAATAGGAAGAAGGAAGTGAAAAACTCGTAGAAGAATTTCCCGTCTTGCTCCTAGTGTGTTCTTGCCTCCTTAGATCAAATCTCCGTAAAATGGTATTGAATGACTATTTAAATGTGTAAGGAAAAGATCTAGACAAAATAACTAAGTCCAAAACCAAAGAGGAGACAAAATAGGCTTTAAAACCCGAAACACGCATTGCTCGCAACAGACCGCGCCTAGCAAGCTCAAACGCGAGCTCCATCTCGCTGCAGCCCTCGCCTCGCCTGCTCTAACGCGAGCTAAATAGCTCGCTACGCCTGCTGCTTCGTTTCTCATTCTTCAATTTCAATTTGGAGGTCTTTTGTTAGTGCTAGTTGCCTAACACTCTCATTTCTTTCTTTTGCTTTCCAATTTCATCTCACGTCAATTTGCACACATTATCCTTGAATAAATTTGTCTTCAATCATTACATGATATCATAATATTTTCCATCGTTAAATAATCACAGGCCATTTTTGTAGTGCATAAAATACACATAAAATCTCTACTTTGCTCCCAATTTCATCTTCAACGTACCTACACATAAAATAAACTCAATTAAGCACAAATATAATATAGTTTAGCATTGAAACACCTAAATGTAAAGTAAGTAATGCACTAAAAATATATAATTATAGCCAAACATCATAAGTCTACTACGATCCTTATTAGTAAACATTATTTTATGTTGCACAAAGATGAGAACTGCTTTATAAAGGCAGCTTGAAGGTAACTTAAAGATTCCTTTATTTGACTGGATCGAATTAATTTTAAAAAAAAATATCACGTGAGTCAGAGAGACTTTAAGAATTAGCAACCTTTAACATAAGTATTTATTTAGATAAGGAAAAGTATACGTTGACCTAATCTGTTAACCATACTTTAGTTTTCGAAGTTAGGCAAATATTGCAGTAAACTATCCTATTGATCATGAATTACATCCGAAGATATTTCAATAAATTCAAAGCAAAATTAAAAATATTACTAGTAGCAAACTCTCAACTGTTAAAAAGCATCGGTTAAAAAAAAAAAATACTACTCTGTATATCGGGATTCACATCATCATATTTGTGAAATAGAAGTGTGAGATGGAAAAAGTTGAAAAAATAATATTGTATAACCGCTCTCAAAATAATAGCTGAAAAATATATTTTTTTTTGTATATATATACATTCTATATGTTGTATACAAAAAGTATACAAATTTTATATACTTTTTCGCTATAAAATGTAAATAATTTTTGATGCGGCCTAAAAGCGTAAAGCCCGAAAAAGTTGGCGTAAGGTAATTACATAATCTTTTGAATGACATTCTTGTAATAAAGATAGCCTAGACGTTTGGACATATATATTATTTGCAAATTAGTGTTTGCTATATACAAAAGTTTGGCTTTTAAAAGTAAAAAAGTGTTGGATCTTTACACAAATAGCCAGCTGGATTTATTTTTTATTATTTAAAACTATTATACTAAATTATATATGGTTATATACGGTTATATACATATTATACATGAATTATTCATAGATTATACACGACTATATATATATTAAATATGAACTATAAATATATTATATATCCGCTGGTTACTTTTAATTTAGGTGATTGAGTGGGCGACTGCTTGGGTTAATTCATCAAAAATGTTCATGAAAGCTAATAGTAATATTTTAGTCAATGATCACTAGTACAAAGACTGTGACAAAGTATATGTTAGGACATATAAAGATCATTGAGATCNAAAACAGTGTTAATTTGTGGTTTAGTCCTATACGTAGGTTCAATAATCTTTTTCAATGACTCTGAATGTACATCTTCTGTTCTTTTCTCCTCCATAAAATTCCCAATTATATCATCAAATATTGCACAAACCAAAAATCCCACAAATATTAACCACCTCCTTTTTGGAATTTTAGGGTCAGAAAAAGCATGGCACCATAGAAAATCCTATATTGAATCTTGGTGGAGACCAAATATTACAAGAGGTCATCTTTTACTAGATTTTCCTCCTAAAGGTAATCTTTTACCATGGTCAATAAATTCACCACCTTATAAAATATCCGATAATGTTCCAAAATTAGTTGAAGAAACCAAACATGTTGATTCAAGAGTTTTAAGAATGGTTCATGGGATTATGGAGGTATTTAGAGAAGAACATGAAGGGGTAAGATGGGTAATTATGGGGGACGACGACTCAATATTTTTTGTAGATAATATGGTTGATATTCTTGCACAATATGATCATACAAAGTATTATTATATCGGAGGACACTCGGAATTTATATTGTCGAATTATTGGTATTCATTTCATGAAGCTTTTGGTGGTGCCGGAATTATTTTGAGTTATCCTTTGGCTAGAGCATTTGCTAAAAATATAATGTCTTGCCTAAAGAGATATTCTCACTTGAAATCTGCTGATAGAACTACAATGCTTTGCATTTCTGATATTGGAGTCAACCTTTCTCCTCTTCAAGGTATTCATCAGGTAAGGTTTCCTTCTGTTTTTAACTTATATATACTGACAGTAAAAAATTATACTATTAACGTATTTTGACGTGTCAGAGATTATGTCTTCTGACAACTTGTTCTATGGATACCTTTCTTAGTCAAGTTTTTTTTTGTTACTTTTTACATTGTCAGTGTATCGGCAAGATATGTCCTAGCAAATAATTAGATTAAGTATACGATTTTTTTCTTTTCCCTTAAATAATATTTGGATATTTATAACTTGCAGATTGATCTACGTGGTGACATATCTGGATTTTTATCATATCATCCAAGGTCTTTATTAATGTCCCTTCACCATTTTGACATGGTTGATCCAATTTTTCCCTCAATGGATCGTGCCCAATCTAGTTTCCACCTACAAAATGCTGCAAATTATGATCAATCACGTATGTTACAACAAACTATATGCCACAAAAGATCAAATAATTGGACATTTTCAGTTTCTTGGGGATATTCAGCACATATTTATGAGAAAATTATGCCTAGAAGTTGGATTCAAAATCCTATTGTAACATTCAAAACATGGCAACCAAGTCCTAGTCCACCATATTACATGTTTGATGTTAGAAGTCCTTCTTTGGATCCTTGTGAGTCTCCTCATGTTTTTTTCTTCAAATCTATTGAGAAAACTCCAAGAAATGAAATTGTTACTACTTATACTAGAGCATGGCCTAGACGAATTGGAGCTTGTTTGTCTTCTGGAAATTATTCTGCAGAATATATTTCTGAAATCCATGTTTATTCACCAGCAACAAAACGTATTGAGGTAATGTTTTCTACTTCCGTAATCTGCCATAAATTTCTATAGGAGTTTAACTTTTATATACTGGCAATATAAAATATTCTCTATTAGATAATCTGGAAGGGAAATGTTGGAGCAACGGTAAAGTTGTTTCTGTATGACCTACATGTCATGGGTTCGAGACGTGGAAGTAGCCACTAATGCTTACATTATGTTAGGCTGTCTATATCACATCCCTTGGGGTGTAGCCTTTCCCCGGACCCTGCATGAACGCGGGATGCCTTGTGCGCCGGACCACCTTTCTATTAGATAAAAGATAAATAGCGGCTGGAATTAATAACCTGGAAATAAAGCAAATTGTGATAAACCAAGAAAATCTCAATAACATATTTTCCCTGTCCTCCTCCTTCCCCCCCCCCCCCACCCCCCCACCCCCACCACAAAAAAAAAGGAAAAAGTGAATATATAATAACATCTACTTGTGTAAATATTACTATATTCTCTATTTTGATCTCTGTATTTTATTAATTATTGTTTTCCTTTGTTCTTTTCAGATTGATAGATGTGAATGTTGTGACATAATACATGAGGCTGGATCCAGTAAGGCTGATATCAAGTATAGGGAGTGTAAAATAGATGAGATAATAGCTTGATCGATTTATCAAGTTGTTGTATAAGCATTTGTGTCGATTATTGTCTTCTTTATTTGTTTTCCCAAACAATAATTTTTAGTTATTTAATTCATCACTTGAAATTAAGAGTCAAGTGAAGCTGAAGGAACCTCATCGTAGTTTGGAAGGTTCAGTAGATCGATCAACCGCGCAGATTCAATAGCTTTTGTTTAGGTTATGTATTTATATAGATAAATCCATTAAATATTTATATATGAATCTAGTAACTTAAACGAATTATTCATTCAGTGGCAAATTCAGAATCTATCGGGGAAGCACGAGTTATCCATTATTTATATGACTGAATAACTGAAGCCATCATACTTATTTGATACAGTAACTTGACGGGGCGGGACGTTGGCCATCCACAAGCATCTAATAGCATGTTTGACCAAGCTGCAAAAATTAACTTATAAGTGTATTTTTCTCAAAAGTGCTTTACAAAAAAGTGATTTTGGAGAGAAATTACTTTTTTCTGCTTCTGCTTCTAATTAAAAGTACTTTTTCTTCTAAAAGCTTGTCCAAACACTCTAACTTTGATAGAAAAGGTATTACGGCTTGAAGAAGCTTGACCAAACAGGCTATAATAAGGGTTTCATGTTATGCAAATGAATGCATGTATTTATACTATCTGTAGTATACTGGAATATGTATTGTAACATGAATATAAATCATAATATTGTACTAGCATAAATATTATCAGAAATTAGTTGAACTAAACATGTGTCAAATCATGCATACAAGGCATAATACTGAGCTGACACTATAACCCTAATGTAGTAAGTATCTTTGGTTTTTGTTTATATGCTCGTCGACTCATATACATACTCTTTTATTGTATAACTCATTATCCAGCTAGTATGCTTATCTTTTAGGAAAACACTTTTTGAAGTCAGTGTCTCCACATACCTCACATTCAAGCTAAGCGTGCAGCTAATTCTTTACTGATTTTCACATTCAATCTCAGTCGAACATCTTCAATCTGTTTAAAATATTAATTATTGGGTTTAATTATGCTTGTTTGAATTATCATCTCATATAAATAAACCTGAATCAAAGTCAAAATCAACCCGAAAGTTAATTATTGGTTAATGAGATCAAAACCCCCGAGTCAGATACGTTTCCGGACTATGCATGAGGCAGTGATGAGTTAATTTTATCCACCGTCATTGAACTTTTGGGTTTGTTACCCAAAAGTCACTTTTTTTTTGTTACGTAAGAATCATTTAACTTTGTGTTCATTACACAAAAGTCACTTTTCTTTCTTTTGTTACACAAAAATCATTTTACTTTGCTCTAGTTATCACAAAAGTCACATTTTTACTTGAAAAGTCTATTATGCCATTGATGTTACATAAATATGAAGGTTTATATAATATCAAGGGCATAATAGACTTTTCAAGTAAAAATGTGACTTTTGTGATAACTAGAGCAAAGTAAAATGATTTTTGTGTAACAAAAGAAAGAAAAGTGACTTTTGTGTAATGAACACAAAGATAAATAATTTTTACGTAACAAAAAAAAAGTGACTTTTGGGTAACAAACACAAAAGTTCAATGACCATGGGTAAAATTAACTCGCCAGTGATTCCAAATATATAATTAATTTTTATTTACTCGTAAAACGATATAGTTAAATTTGTAACGTGATTTATAGACACGTGAATTAACAAAATAATTTGAGGAAAATACAAGCATGGCTATGCATGGACTTAGCTTCTCCGGAAGTAGTAATAAGAACAATATTAAAAGCAAAAGAAAAAGAATGATTCTATTGAATAAGAGTAGATTTTTGCCTTTGTATACATATGATTTTTTCATGTCCTACTATGGATACAAATTCGCTTATTTATAGCTTTATTCAGGGAGACAAGATCCCCAAATCAAGCTCTTAATGAGAATAACCCCCCCCCCCTCCCCTTTTGATGGTTGCATAACAGTTAAACATTAATACAGAGATTCTTTCTAACGACTGCTCATTGAGTGCTGCCTTTCCTTACTGATGTCTTCCTTTCAAATCTTTGTTCTCGGTTCTAATGCCTTCAGAACTTATTCAGTACCAGTCACATATTTGTATTTGGTGCTAACTATTTGCGGACTCATATCTTATCTGTCTTCAATTCCACGTGTCATCTCAATGTTTATCCACCTGTCGCTAATTAATTTTACCCCATACAGTTTTCAATCGGAGCCTTGAAAGTCCTTTAAATTCTTGATTTTCTAATGTGGGAGCCTCATTCCTACTTAAATCTCATATTTTTAGTAATAAACAAAAAGTAGTATATGATATTATAAAACTCAAATACTAGTTTAGGATCCTAACCACAAACCTTTATGATGATCCTTATTCATTGAGATCTCTAAATGTGGCTTAAAGTACCAAAATGAAGTTGCAATACAAAATTCGCGAACTTTGTCATTTATCTTTGTGGGAATCCTATTACCCTTGAATTACTTTAGAGTAAAATTAATTCAACCCCATCCCACCCCACCCCTTCCCGCCGCAACCTACTGACCTATCAACAAAGGTAAAATGCACATCTCTAAAGCGAGAACTGCTTAAATGCCTAGCATTGCTTTTTGTTGGTCACGTTAAATAGTTTTTCACAAGACCAAAAAATTCATCCATATCAACTAAATACCCACCACATGTACCACAAATAAAAACTTCCTTTATAAGAAATAACACTGCAGAGCCCACAAAAACACTGACGACAACAACGCAAAATAGAAACAAAAAAAGAGCATACACAGGTTCTCAAGGGCACGAACAGATTACCACATGCAGAAAAAACAACACGCACAACATAAAAAATAACGATAGTATCATAAACACTCCTTTTAAGAAGCCTTCACTGCATGAAATCATTTCCACTTATGAAACCTACTCCCTCCCTACTACCCATCCTACCCCTGCCGCTGTCAAACCCCATCAAATCCATCACTCCCCATCCATCACTTCAACCCCACTAACCACAAGCACAAGCAGCCTCCCCACCATCCAGTCACCCCATTATCTTCCCCTCCACACTCCCTCCCACAGACCAACTCCCCATTCTCCCTCAACCTCAAAATGTATCAATATTTCCACCACCGTTTCAACTACCACAACCACCGATGCCACCACTACCCACGCCACATCAGAGAGAGCTACTTGCACCCTCCATGCCATCACAGCCACACACAAACAACAAACTATTTTTTCCAAACAACATTCATTCCAGTGGTGCTAGTTCCCATAGTTACAGATCCCAGTCGTGCATCACCTACCACCAACTCCATGGTTGGATGTAGTGGGGCTACAACAGCATGCCCAGTTCTTCTTGGAGAACACACAGGACCTCATCGAGCAACTACATGACTGGAGGACACACACGAAAGTATGTACGGAAACCATTCAGAACTTGTAAATAACAGCAATGGAGATGGAAAATCACCTCACAACAGCCACTCAACAGCCACCACAAATTTAGGGGCTCTACCAGCAGCCATACTCACCAGTGCAGGTACAGGAGACCCTACAAGCCCAGGAGGAACAATAAAATTCATATACCCCCACCAAACATTGGTTGCTCTCATCACTGAAAATAGAGGAATTAACACAGCCGAAAAACCTAGATATCGAAATAGAGGCACCACCAGCGGAGGCACTAACAGCAGAGCCATTATCCCCTTTGAATTCGGAGCCCGACGTAACCATCCTAATGAACCCAGAAGTACAGGCACCAAGCTTCCCAGATCAAATGCTGCAACACGTCACTCTACGGGAATCACTGTCGACCACACTCCACGAAAATAGAGAAAAATGATACTTCATCATAGTTCCAAAAAATGTGCTTCGAATAGCAATGAACATCCACACCTACCCCTTCTCGATCATCCACAAATATGCAATACTGATTCTACCCGCACTGACGGAGGAAGACTTGCCATTGTCGGTATCCAATAGGGCAGATCACCCACTAGTTGCGCACCTGCGCATGTCACTGGCCCCGGGATGAGAGCTCACGTATAACAAATGAATCCAAAATGAAGATACTCGTTTGGAACTTCAGATGTTGCAACAACTAAGAATTCCGGCGCAACTTCAAAGACATTATGGACTAGAACAACCCATCAATCAGCTGCCTCACTGAAACGCGCATGCAGAGCCATTACGAGCTCATGGAATTTATTGGTTTTACTAACTTGTTTGAAATTAGCATATATGGCTACTCTGATGGAGCTGTCCTAATGTGGAAGCATGAAGAGTTAAAGATAGACCCAGTAGCTGTGACTGACCAGGAGATCCATGCTAACATACAGGTCAGTAGAACTTCAAAACCTTGGTTGCTCTTTATTTTATGGCAGCACTTTACATAGGTCTCACAGTTCACAGACAAGCTTAGTAGAGTCTGAGGGATCGGTACGGAGACGTCTGTATTTATCCCCTAGAGGCTATAGAGTTAGGAAAATTTCACATCTATTATTTCCTGTCGTGCGGTTTGGTTTCTCAATGCTAATTGAACTTCTACTCTATTCTCTCGCGGATGGTGAGAACACGTACCGCTTCTTCAACCGAGCAGTAGCACAGACCGGTGATGGAGCAGCTATGTCTGCCGATACTTTGTGGAGATTGGACAGGTTCACCAAGCTCTTCACTACTACTTTCAGCGGTGCATCTTCTGAGGATCCCCAGGATTATCTAGACAGCTGTCATGAGGTTCTCAGGAACATGGGGATGGTTGAGACCAATAGGGTCGATTTTGCTACTTTTCGCTTGTCGGGATCCGCCAAGACTTGGTGGAGAGATTATTGCTTGGCTAGACCGGCCGGATCACCAGCTTTGACTTGGGAGCAGTTTACTCAGCTACTTCTGGAGAAGTTTCTCCCCATCACTCCGAGAGAGGCCTATCGGAGGCAGTTTGAGCATCTCCAGCAGGGTCTGTTACCTAGTATGAGACCAGATTCATCGACTTGATTTGTCATGCTCTTATTACACTTCCCACCGAGAGAGAGAGGGTGAGGAGGTTCATTGAGGGACTTATTCAGCCGATTCGTCTTCAGATGGCTAGGGAGACAGGGAGTGAGATTTCTTTCCAGGA